TGCAGGCAATAAGAAACTATATGAACGGTATGATCCAGTTATGAATGGGTTTCAAGCAATAAGTAGATGAGATACTATTCAGTCGATACCGTAGGTACTAATGTTCGAAGTCCGTTGTTGCTTTCTAGTGAAAATGGTCCAAGTATTGAAGGCCAATCCGCTGAGACCTCAAGGAGGAATGATAGGCCTCTCCACCAGATGTCATGAGTCAGTATTTCGAACGGAAATAGCCCGCGTGAAGCACAATATGCTGGGTTCAATCAGTTGTACTTCTCAAATATACTGCGGCTGCATATCCTTGTTCTGAGCTGTCAGTAAAGACATGCAATTGATATTGTTGAACTTGATCCACCGAAAGTCGCCGACCGATTTTAATTTGTTCTAACGTTTTGAAGTCTGTACAAAACTTTCTCCACGTGAGTTGAATGTGTTCTGGGACCGGATCATTCCAACTAAGACCAAGTGTCCAAAGTGACTGCATGATAGTTTTAGCAAGGAAAACAACTGGAACCAGAAATCCAAGAGGGTCGAAGACTCGAGCGATGTCTGCCAAAATAGAACGTTTAGTAGGTAGTTCAGATGTGATTGAAACGTTGAATGTGAACTGATCTAGAGTGAGCTGCCATTGTAAGCCAAGTATTTTATACTTGAAGTGAATATTGCTAAAAAATCCTTTCATTACAACAGTGGCATGAAAAACTAGGTCATCAGAATGTTCAATATGTTAGAAATTACCTAAGGCATATGGGTACTAAATTCATTGAAATGAAAACCTAATTTTTCTATGAAGCTTGCTTTTATGGTAAACAACACAGAGAACCATTAAATTTTATACTGAGCAGTGCCAAAAATAACAAAATCAGGTCAGATAATTCAGTGATATTTGTGGATCCGTGGAAGAAAATTCTCTTGGTGATAAAAGATACTTTGTTATATTCAAACATGATTACTCAAAGATACTTATGTCTCATTTATGAAGCAAAAATCAGAAGTAAAAGAAAAATTTGAATTATTCTTAAATACAATGAAAAATCAGTTAAATAAATATCAGTTAAATAAATATCAGTTCTTACTTTACTAAGTAATTGTGGTTTGGAATATAAGAATGATGAAGTCAAAGTTATTTAAAATAAATTTGGTATAAAACATGAAACCAGTGTATCATATACACCACAGCAAAATGTTAAAGTGAAACGAAGAATGCGTACAATAGTAGAAGAAGTTATAACTATATTATACAGTAAAAAATGGTCAGAAAATCATTCGGCTGAAATGGTAAATATATAAATGTATTGAATTATAAGTTAAATTCAGGTAACAAGAAAAAAACGCCCTATGAATTATGGTATAATAAAATGCCCAATATAAGCAATTTTAATGTATTTGGTAGTAAAGTTTATGTTCATATACCAAAAGAAAAACGTAAAAAATGGGATCAAAAAGGTAGAAAAAAATTATTTGTTGGGTGTTCAGAAGAAACTAAAAGATACCGCATATTCTTTGATGGAAATGAAGTTTCATTAAGCAAAAATGTTATATTCAAAGAATTTTACAGAAATAGAGATCAAAATGAGAAAACAGGATGAAGAAATAAATTCAGAAATGGTGATTGAAAGTGAAGAAAATAACATTAATGATGAGAATAATGTTGAAAGAAATATGGATAAACTTGATCAATCAGCAGATCAGACTCAAGAAGAATTAAAAATGAAACTTAGAGATAGACATAATATAGAATAACGAATAAGGTATAGAACAGAAACATTTTATTCAAAGTGTCATAATCCAGTTACATATAAAGAAGCTATAACACAAGAAAATCTAGAAGATTGGAAAGAAGCGCAATGAATGAAGAAATTATGTCATTAAAAAAGAATGAAACCTGGAAATTAGTAAATATACCAACAAATAAAAAAACACTTAATATTGGCTGGGTATATCGAACCAAACTCAAAAAAAATGGAGAAGTTGATAGATTTAAAGCCAGATTAGTAATAAAAGGCTGTGAACAAGTGCATGAAATTGATTTTCAAGAAACTCTTAGTCCAGATATAAAGTATGACTCTATATGAGTATTGCTAGCAATAGCATTAGCTAGAAAATAAAAACTCAGACAATTCTATATTAAAACAGCCTTTTTATATGGTGATCTTGAAGAAGAGATTTGTCATGAACCAGCCAAAAGGTTATGAAGATGGAACTACGCAAGTTTGCAAACTTCAACGAAGCTTGTATGGCTTGAAACAAGCACTCGGATGCTGGAATATAAAATTTAAAAAATTGTTGTTAAACTTTGATCTAAAAGAAACAAAGGCATCACTGTGTATTTATGGACATAATGGTGAAGTACCTGAAGAGCAACTTTGAGACAAAAGCAGGTGAATTGAATCATTTTCTGGGAATTGAAATTAATTAGAGACCAGATGGGTCAATATTTATACATCAGTCGTTATACTGTCAACGCGTTTTTGAGAGATTTAATATGTGTGAATCAAACGCCCTATGTATTCCTGCAGATCCTAAACATTCATTAGATGTAAATTTATCTGAATCATTCCAAGCAGGGGAAGTTCCTTACAGAGAAGCAGTAGGAAGTTTGTTATATCTAAGTCAAATCACAAGGCCTGATAATACGTTTGCTGTCTTGTCAGTCGCTATTTAGAAAAACCTTTGATAATACATTGGAATGCAGTGAAACGTATTTTAAAATATTTAAAAGGAACCTATATCTATGGTTTGTTTTATTCTAGGGTGAAACTTAAGTTACATAGTTATAGTGATGCTGGCTAGGCTGGCGTTACAACAACTAGGCAATCAACATCAGGATACATTTTTATGATGACTAATTGAATAGTAACATGGTGTTCACAAATTCAAAATTCGGTAGCAGTTTCAACTACTGAGGCTGAATACATGGCACTGAGTCAAGAAATCCAGGAACTAACTTGGTTGACGCTACTAACAAGTGATTTTCTGGAAACAGGGAGAGACACCTGTTTTGTATGCGGACAATCAAAGTGTCATAAAATTGATGAAAAATCAAGAATTCCATAAACGAACTAAACATATAGATGTTCTTTATTAATATACTCGTGAAAAGTTCAATGAAGGGATAATTTCACTGAAGTGTGTGACCAGCAAAGAGCAGTTAGCTGACATCTTGACCAAGCCAACATCACGAACAAGATTTCAAGAACTCAGAAAAATGTTAGGAATTAAATATATAGATTTATAATTATTTTTAATTAACTATGTATGGTTTAAGGGAAAATGTTGATATTATTAAACAACACACTGGGCACAGTAATATTATTTAAGATAACAGTTAAATGTATTTTTACTTAAGTTAGTATATTACAAGGTCAAAAGGGACAATTCCTTTCTCGATTATGTTGTTTTACTCAATGCAGCCTATTGTAAACATGTTTACAGTTTAGTCGTAGTTTCACCGTCTATCGAGTAAAGTGATCCGTTGCCGTTGTACATCTCTTATATTATATGTTTTGACATTTTATATTAAATACTATTATATTACAAATAATTTCTAAATCTTTCAATTACATAACCTATTCCATTCAACAAACATTATAATAATTTTAAATAAAAATGGAAAATCTAATGGAGAATAAATATACAATGTTACCTGACAATCTCGCGGTATTAAAAAACATAAGTAACATAAAGTTAGGTCATTTACAGTCAAGTAGTTGTAAAAAAGATAAACGGTTTCAATGAACACTACCATTGTATCAGGTAGTAGACTGCGACACGAAGGATCAGATAAAACTATCGAAGAGTTCATCCTTGTGTGAATCTGTGATATGTTGAGCTAGTAAGTGTTTCAAGAGGACATTCATTAGTTTTACCAGGAATGGAAAGAAGACTTCTAAATCCGAGAATAACCAAAAAAATAAAATCGAATATTAGGCGCGTTTTGGGTATGCAAAAAGATTTGTCAAATACTCTCCATTACACGATTGTGCCTACTAAATCCTCGTAAAACATGCTAATTATGTCCATCAAAAAGAAAAAGAAAGACATTGTATCCTTGCTATTTATGTGGAAAACCTATATGTTTAAAATGTTCAAAAAAGGTGTGTAAAGAATGTGTAGGAGTCTCAGAATAAAAATTAATGTAGATCAAATCGTTGCATACAATAGTAAAAATACATCAACTTTAATAGTTGTAATTTTTATGTTTTAAATGTATTTAACTATTTTTTTCAAGTTATATCATTCAATTATGAAGTAAAGAAGGCAATAGTTTATGTTTCATTTCAAAAATAAAGATCACAATTTTTTTTTTTTAATATCTAAAAAAAATAATGACGAAAAGAAAATTTTCATTTTTTATTTTTTAACCGTGAAAAGTACTTAATTTTTTGTTTTTTCATACAGATAATATTTAGAGTACTTCAAATAAATATAATTTAAATTTTGTTTGATTTTAACTCGTTTAATTATTTATTTATTTATATGAAGTACAAGAGTATGCGGTCTGGTAGACCGCACGTCAGTAATTATGTCATTTATTTACACGTCGGTAGTTAATATCAGCACCATAATACTAATTCTCTATTCACTTGGAATTTTCCCTTCTAATAAGATTTTATATAAAAGTTCCTTCAACCACCTTATGCCAACACCGCCTAATATTTTCGATACTTTTACTGGCACTTCATGTGGTTCTATTCTACGAGATATCCTCTAATGTCACTTTTGAGTACTCCTCATTCAATAATTTGTCAAAATACTCTTTCCATCTTTTTTTCACACCATTCACGTTAATGGGAAAATTATTACCTTAACCGACACGATGCTAACATTTTTTTAAAAGTAGAATATATATAGTTCAGTAAGTAAGGTCAATTGTTATAAATAATGAGAACAATAGAAGCTCGTTTCCTTAGTTACTGAACACCCTAGTTCACAAAGGGTCTTCATATGTCCTATTTCCTTACAAAGGATAAAAGTACAATTGTAATCATAGTTACCAATACCTTTTTAATAATATATTTCAAGCTTCGCATATCCTGTGTAACATTTTGTATACTTAAATCTGACATCATAATTAGAAAATCGGCGTTTAGGAATGCCTCCTGTACATTGTTTGTTGCAATAAATTCTGAAATACAATAAAATAAAAAAACATAATATTTCATAAAATTCTATCTCTCTCTTAATATAATAAATGTAGTATTCTAAAAAATACTAATTCTAAAAGAATATTTTAATATTTTTGTTTCACTTTATACATACCATTTAAATTACAAAAAGCACTTCTCTCTATACAAATTATCAATTCAGTTACTTCGCTTACATCCGAAGTTACAATGTAAACATTTAATTTGAGATTTGCAAAAACCTTTCGTTGTAGTAAGTTAAATACCAATTCAATGTTAAATACTTTGTAGTCTCCTAAAATTACTATTTTAATTGTAGAAGCCATTATTTTAATAAAACATTTTAGTAGATAGTATTTACACTGGTAGTGTATTTATTTATTTTTTAATAAAAACATTGTTCGTAACTATTGAATTGCTAAAATTAACATATACGTTTTTTAAATAAGAAAATGGATGTTTGTTATTTTATTTTTTATTTATGTGTTCCTATAATTCTTTACCTATTTGAAAGAAAGTTTTAAAATATTTTTTATCGACATAATATATAGGATTACAGGTCTAGTATAGTAGACGTACGAACATTTCGACTATTGTACGAACTTTTAAAAATATGAACATTCCTACGTATAAATTGACACGGCCGTATCGTACTTCAGGCTGTACCACTCGATGGTGACTGCGACACAGTGACCAATCCTAGTCCGACAGGTCGCGCGACACTGATTGACCTTGCGTGTCGCAAATCGGTCCAGCAACACGCCGCGGCGCGTCGACACATTAACTCACTTTTTTACGAAAAACCACCGTGACACTTTTACAGCCTTTATTTTTTGTTCGCTTATAGTAATAGTAAAATAATCTATCAAATATCTAACCACCGTGTTATTTTTTTATTTTAAAAAACAAATCTTACACTTATTCTAAATATAAATATTTACACCAAGGTGAGTACTTTGGTGATAATGAATCTGTTACGTATAGATAAATATAGTATAAATCGGTTAGGTTGGGGATTTATTCCTATCATAAAAGCGACACGTAGTGGGGTTTAATCGTTGATCGTTAACGAAATACAAAATAAAGTCATATTGCCAATTTCTGTAAGTGGAAAGTGACACCCCGCCGTCGTGACAACTCCTTCAAAGCCACCGTTTTACTGTTAACCGATCCATTACACACACGCGTTATCATCATGGTGTCTATTCCAACGAATGGCTAGCGTTGAATACTCGCCACGACAATGCGTTTCTCAGTCATATTTGTGATACCACGAAAAACAATTTTAGTTCGTCCGGACTATCCACGACTCGACGCATAAAAACGTCAGTGATATCATTTTATTTCAATCTTTGTTATTACGTGCTCAGTGTTTTCTCTTTTTGTTTTTACTCACTATAACATTAAAAATATTGTAATTTTTTTTAAAAAAACGACTCAACGTGTTCAACCACAAACTTTAATGTCGCCTACTTTTTTTTTTATATTAATATTACTATTATTAGTAGCTCATTACTATCAAAAAAATTACGTATCAATACATTCTCAAAATTTTTATTTAGTTTATATGCTTAGCTAGCACACCAAACAATCAAACATACAGTACAATTTTTAAATCTCTTAAGTATATATTAAAGCCAGTAATATCATATTTTGCGGTTACGCATACATTTTATCTGGCAAAACAATGTATTGATGTTTTATCAATTACATAATACGTAATTTATATATATTAGAATCACTAATTGCAGAAAGGGGACATGTCCGCAAAACCTTTTTTTACAGGAGACACATAAATCTATCTAGGCCAGACTTAAGAAACAGTTAGGTTTAAAAATGAGTATATTACCTTAATACTAACTTTTCTGAAAATAAATCATCCCAATATTTTCAAAAAATTATTATAAATGTGCCCTTTTCAGCCATTTTAAATTGTCGGACATATCCCCTTTTTGCAATTAACCTTTTAAAATTCATTTTGATGAGACTAGGGTTGCTTTTATATTAAATAAATAATAACGAGGCGGCTAAGTATTAATTACCATATATTTTAAATCACTATACATAAGTCAATTTCCAAAAACAGTGTCACGATAGTTCTCGCGCTAGAGTTGAAAGATAATGTATATATTCATCATGATTAGTGGCCGCCGGCCTGGACCGGTTCACGCCGCTCGTTGGCCACTCCATATGGCGCGACCTGCTGGACGTAAAGGGGAAGCGCCGCGATCGCCTTCCAGTGGTAAAGTTGGAGTCGCGATGCGACCGCGACAATTTGAAACACAGATAAATTAATAAAAGCCAGTTTCGTAACTCGAAAAAATCTTATATTTCTTAAACAATTAAATTTGTACTATTTATTATGAATATAGTGTTGCTAGCGAGTGGGCCACTCGTAAATTGTTCTCCAAAATCTGTTATAATGATCCACAGGAATGTAGGGCTTCAAACGTTTTAAATCCTTAATTTTTTAATCCATGATGGGAATTTTTTGGTTGTGCAACTTCTTTTTGGGTAACTTGACTGGTAAAGTATTTCCTTTTTTCAATGGAAAATTGAGCATCACGAGACCACCAATAAATGTCGATGCCTTGATTGTAGTATGATTTTCTGAGGTACATTCAAAATAATGGTAGGCAGAAATTAAAAACTTCTACTGTTCTCTAGATGGCAACAGTCTAGTCTCTAATGCTGTAATATGCTTAAGGTAATACGAAGGATACCAATTTTGAAAGTCCATAATCATGGTAGAATCTACTAACATTATTTTAAATTTTCCAGTAAAATAACCGTTTCATATTCATCAATTGTGTAAATCCTGTCTATTTTTTTCATTTTCCGTTTGATTAGTCCAAAAATTCTGTCACATGGTAAAAATGAATGTCCTCTAATAGGAAAAAACAATTTTATTTTCTTAAACATTTTAAGTTCGATGGCAGCCATGATTGCTCTTATCATAGCATGGTTCTTATTCTGCCCACCGCAATTGTCACAGAATAAGTGGAGTTCCTCAATATTATTTGAAACGAAATTCTCCAAGTAGTGAAATAGAAACGAAATAACTTCGTCAGGAGATTTTTGCGCAATGCCTTCATTGTAAATATAACTAGTCATGTTATCGTCTTTCATATTAATAATTCTAAAATTGTTAAGATTAAGTTGTCGAAAGTAATAAACATCCCGCACCGGAATTTTTGGTAAATCTGTCACAGCCATAAAATCAAAACATAACCCCAATATCTTGCTGTCAGGTTTTTTAGAAGCTTTAACACTTTCCTCGAGGGTTTTATAGAACTTCTGACTTCTCCGCTTATGCACCAATAATTCTGCAACTGCTACTCGTTTTGCATTGTCATTGAGAGATGAATTTTTTAGTTTTGTTTTTAGCTCTTCGCAAATGGAACACGTATCTTGGGCAGGTCTTCCGAAAGTCAATGACAAGTGGTTTTTAAAATAAGACCAGTAAAAGCCATACTTAACTTTTTCTGTCAAATTTGTATATTTTTTAGAAACATGGCATGCATTTGTTTAACTTCAAGCTCCGACGATAAGTATCTGATATCTCTAGAAGCATAGTGTGTTTCGTGGACTGGAAATGAATTAATAATAAAGTTTTATAATAAAATAAAAGCTGACAATTATTCCCAGAGAAAAATTAATTTATGCCCCATACTATGGTAATAGAAGACTATTATATAAAATAAAATTTTAATGATTTACCATTTCTAAATCATTTTTGAGACCCCCAGCTCTTTTCTTTCTTTCTTTCTTTAATCGGAGACTTAGGTATAGATTTGTTTGAACCTGCTAAAAGAGTTATCAATTGCACATGCTCGTCTCTAGTTGGTAGTACTGGATATGGTGCCATACCCACATATATCATTGTTATCAGCTACTGTCGCTGTTATTAGTACATTTTAATACTTCTGTGATATAACGTGTGTCATTAAGTGCTCTGTATAATCTATAAGATTCAACGTGCTCTACACACTATAATTAATTATTCAATATGCTCATACAGCATGTTTGGGTGCGGTGCTACAATATGCCACTTACCTTAGCACTGGTGACTATTTTTAAGTGGAATGTTTAAGGAAGAGGGAAATGATCATCTGACCAAAACGCAAACACCCTGAATAGAGTTTTGTACTCCCTTTAGGGACATCCTCATTCTAAAGGAGATGATTTTAGAGTTTAATGGGGTAAAACTTGATACTCCTCATATTAACACCTTCCTCTTGAAGTTTGTTTTCCAGTCTGATCATAAGATCAGATTTCGATCACCCAGTTACGAGTCCCCGTAGCGCTATCTCCTATGGTAATTCCTTAATTCGAGTATGGTTATACCTGACATACTGATTGATAAAATCACAAGTATATAAATAAATAACAAGTAGGTCAGTGAGATGATAACGCGCTGATCACATGAAGAGCCCGTGGATTTACCTAATATTTATTTATAGTACAAACCTCGGTAGAAAAAAATTCGTATAAGCCTATGGCTATTGCTTATTTATACCTTAGCCCCAAAAATTAATAAGCTTATATGTTTTAAAAATTTCTTTTTCTAGGAACTACTAGACTTTTATTTAGTTAACTGTAGATTCTTTATTTTGAAAATAATTATCTAAGAGTGTTAAAACTTATAATTTCTGTAATCAATATAGCATTTACCTTAATTACTTCTTATTAGCAAAAAATTCTTAATTGACTGCGCCAGTTGATGGAGTCAAGATTGAGGCGTGTTTAATTTAAACCAAAAGTAACAACACGGTGATTAAATACTAATGACTATATATTGTTATTTATTAATATTAATATATAAAGGCTGCATAAGTATCAATACGGTTTCTTTGAGGAAGTTAAAAATGTTAATGCAACGCCAGACCGGCTATGATAATGATTTCGATATTGATTATTAGAATTGGTTTTTTTTTTTGGAATTCGGATTGGTTGTTTGGACGTTGGTCTGACTAGTCTAATGAATGAAAAGATACTGAATTTTCCAATTCAGATAAAATAGCTAATAATTCCGAAATTGTTTTTGAACCACAACCAGTTACAGCAGTACATATATTATGATTAAAATGTTGGGTAATCACTTTAACAAGTCTAATTGGATCTATGGGATGTGACAGATATTTTGCAATTCAATGCATAGCATGGATTGTTAGACAATTGGAATGATGGTATTTATACGAGCGTAAAACTTCATCATGAACTCTATGTTGAATCGTTTCAGACAAAAATTGATTTCGGAATTCAGTAATAAATTGTAATAAAGTCTCAGGAACAGGAAATAGAGCATCAAACCAAACACGAGAGTTATGTGTAAGACGCCTTCGCGCCAGATTAATACGTTGTGGTTCAGGTCATTGATAAATATCAAAATAATTTTGAACATAACGAGGAAACCGTTCAGGATGTACATCTTGGGCTTTGCCCGAAAATTCAGGGACCACTTATGAAATTTCTCTACAGGCACAGAGTAAACCGAACGATTAAGATTAGATATAGGATTATTAGTGTCATTAAAGGAAGGATTTTGAGATAAATTAAGATAATTAATTTGGATTTCTGAGATGGTGGAATTTAGCTGCATTGATTCTTTTTTAATATTAATTTGTTTATCATTAAGTTCTTGTATGCTAGTAGTAATGGTTTCCCATTTTTCTAAATAGATTCTATAGAAGATAAGCGTGACTGAATTTCAGCACATTCACTTTCCATATTTTGGACTCTGATATTTAAATTTATTAATTCAGATTTTGCTTCTTTAATAAAATGTTCAATTTTATTAATTCGCTCTTCAAACTTTTCAAACTGCTTTTTAATTTTTTAAGCATTTTGATTAAATGTACTTAACAAATTTTCCAAAGTTAAAGACATTTTCTTTGGTTCTTCATCAGGATTAGACTCGGCCATAGTAGGGGACCGTTTTAAAGAATTCCGAAGTAATTGATTTTGAACGGTTCTAGTACCTAACCTTTTTGGAGGTTTGCTTTCCTTATTCATTTCACTATGCATACAAGTAACTAACAGATTTATTTAATGACAGAAGAATGTTATCTAATAAAACTTTACCTCGGTGGTTGTGACTTGTTCACCGACGTCTGTTTTGCTATTATTCAATTTTTCTGTCCAATGAGATAAATATGTAAGTGAAACTAATCCAAAGTAAGGAAAAGAATAAAAGAATAATACAAAATTAATCTTAATAATTCATAAATACTGAAAATATATACTTAAAAGTGTTAATAGATCACTCAAAACTGAAGTGAAGGAATACAATACTGTCGTTAATAAAACGATAACTGATAAGTAAAATAGATAATATATAATAAGGATCATTTGACTTGACCATTTAACACAGATACATACACCATCAACAAGGACTTGGATATCCATAACATAAATAAACTTTTAAATGTATGTGGTTTATTTGTAATGTAACATTGAAACCAGTGATAAGGGAATAAAGCAAGGAAATTTGATTATCATGAGTATAAAGTGTTCGTACAGCGGGTAAAGTTATTTTGAACATGTCACTACCGTCAAGTATGGGGTCCCTAAAAGTAATGGGTCCACATTTGAGTTATTCACCATGCCCACCTTACACACCCAAGAACACACTATCTCATGGTAAAGGAAAGACAGGGAATTCTGGTTCAACATTACATCTAAAAAAATGATAAAAAAGGAATGAAAATTATACAGGTGTATTTTGATCAACAAATAAGTTAAAATAAAATATGACCATTGATCAATTAAGCAAAATGTTCATAATCAATACATAAAAAAAAATCATGCAATATGTACATGTTATACAATCGGGCCACTAGATTAAGATGTAAAAGAGAAGAAAATTTTCATCAAGTGAGGGTACCATTAAGGTTTTATTTAATAAACTAGAACAATGGAGTAACCAGTTACAGGTAAAATTGTGGAGAAAAAAAAATGTTTCAGTTCAGGCCCTAACAATTTAAAATAGTAATATTAATCTAAGCAAAATATATTAACACATACCAATTACCTTAAAATGAATACTCAGACACAACCTGGAGAATGAATTTAAAATCATAGACTTAACAGAGATTATACTCTGTAACCTAATTAATAGTGTAAGCAACAATTTTGGTGATACAAATATTCTAACACATAAAAAATATATACAAAAAAAATCGATCTTCAAAATGTTTATGAGATACCTCATAAATGTATTATATACATTAAAATAAACATTTTATGAAAATTTGACGTTTAAAAAATTGATTGCGTAAAGTCCATAAAAAGCTCAAAAATATGGTTAAGTTCTACGAACACTTAAGTAAACCAAAAAAATTTTTTTTTTTAATTAGATTAATATTTGTGTGTATTTTAAGAGAAAAAAATTTTTTTAAATGTTTAAAACCACTACCTTTTTTTTTAGATTAGAACGTACGCTAGAATATACGATGCACATAAAAATAAATGAAAATATCGTCAAATTTACTGTTTCCTTTTTACATTTTTTTATTTTAAAATGCATTATCTATATATACATATTTATAATTATAAAAATAAAAATAAAAATTATTTTTTATTTTTTTGTCATCAATGTTGATTTTTTACAATCAGGGTACTCATTGCGGTGTCTCTCCACAACTTGTAATAAATATTGCCTTTGCTCTCATCGTTTGTTTGACAGTTATTAAAACTCGCCATTAAGGCGACTCCGCGTTCTGCTGGGTCATTTATTACAAATAATGATTTAACTTTATTTTTAGTCTGATTGTAGTTCGAATTTTGAGTCCAAAAGTTTGGTTGATTGTTTAAAAATTCTTGATTTATGGTAAGCGTAGAAATAATTTTGTAGTATTTTCTGTTAGAAACTGATGTACTCCTTCATTTTCTTTTACTGTTTGAATTTCTATTTTTTTTTTAATTTATTTTTCCATTTTTATTTAATGCTTGAACCATTTTTTTTTTGTTCTCTATTGATATGTCTTCAAAAAATGACAGTCCTGCAAGTATATCATTTAGATACCATATGTGTCCAGAAAAAAAACTTTTATAGTGTTACGTCGCTATTTAGGGGTTTAGCCTAAATGCCCGTCGACAGTATTCTAAGGGACCAACGGGGGATAGCTGGCT